AGACCTCACAAAAAGCATGTGCTGCTGTATCCAAAAATAACTAGCATATACTGCCATTTTCAAATGTACTTTCTTTAAAGCAATAATAGTCAGTAGCTATATCAAAAACTTTCTCATAGACTGGATTGTTTTAAGACTTCAGATTAAACCCTTTCAAGAAGTCATGTTAAAAATCTTCAGTCATGCATAAAACTTGTTCAGAAGTTGTTGAGAGTGGTTATTTCTTCTTGTTTCATATTTTGTGCTCTTTTGTTTTGGTTTTAATCACGGACGTGATTTTTCACTAGATCCTGTTGGCTTGGTTTTTCAGTTTCACTTACTTCCATGATCATTCTGAGGGATGTAGCGCTCATTGCTGCTGTTTTTTATGTGCGATACAAAACTCTTTCTCCACCGGTAAGTGTATAGCATTAAACAAAATTGTATGAACATGTAATAATTTTATTTTGATTAAATCTTCTGTATTTTTACAAGTATAAAAAAAGTGAGTAAGCCTTTAACAAAGTTGTAACCGAGAGATTTTCATCTTCAGACTTGATGGTTGTTCAAAACTTGGGTGGATAGCCTAAGATGTAATGCTGTGCTTTTGCCAGATGGATCTGTAAGCAGAACAGTACTTCATAAAATAGGTTTCATAAAGATGAGTCGGAGCTACTGATAACTTTTTTTTTTCCCCCCTGTGTGTGATGTGTAATAAATCATATAAGAGCAGCAGTAGTATAACTCTTTAGTGCTACAATTGACTTATACTTCTTGGCATGATAGAGAAGTAATCAAACTGAACATACTAGAATTGCCTTTTTTTCCTTCTCTTTTCTCCCCCAACAGAGAACACTCAGTAGGTATTTTAACCCTTGTTACGCTACTGCCCAATTAAAGCCAACATTCATTAGCAAGGTAAGAGTAGTAACTTGTTACAAAAGATAACTCCTCAGTGCTTGGGGTGGTGTGTGGTTAGGAGGGAGGGGGCTCTTTACTGCTAATACTGAGTGCAGTTTTGAAATAGTGCCAACTAATTTGGAGGCAACTTACATCCTGAAAGATTTTCAACTATACTCTGTCAGAGCACATGCTAATTCTGTGTGTGTAAGATGCTTCATTAAAAGAGGCTTCTAAATAAACTTTCTGTATATAGACTAATACTTAAACCAGTAATAAAAGTGTATATTGGTATTCCTTGCATAGTACACGTCTTCGTTTTGACCACATTTCCTATTTTGCTTTTACCAGATGAATA